GTTTAGGGTTTAGGGTTTAGGGTTTAGGGTTTAGGGTTTAGGGTTTAGGGTTTAGGGTTTAGGGTTTGCCTGTGCGACGGCGAGTAGAAGGACATCGAGTTGTTCGTTTTCGATTTCTCCTGCAACCCTCAGACAAAGTCTTTCAATTGGCTTCTCTAGTAGCTGACTCACCAAGCGCCCTGCATTATAATGCACACGCGAGGGTTTAGGGTTTAGGGTTTAGGGTTTAGGGTTTAGGGATTGGGGAGTGGGGGCTAGGGGAGAGGGGAGAGGGGATAGAGGATAGGGGTTAGGGTTTAGGGTTTAGGGTTAAGGGTCTAGGGTTTAGGGATTGGGGGTTAGGGTTTAGGGTTTAGGGTTTAGGCCTTAGGGTTTAGGGTTTAGGGTTTAGGGTTTAGAAGATAAGGGTAATGGAGGGGAGCATAATACAGAGACAGAGACACAAACAAAGACAGAAATAAACAAAGACAAAGACAAAGAGAGACAGAGATAAATAAACAGAGACAGACAGACAAAGAGAGACAGACAAAAGGAGACAGATAAAGAGACAGAGACAGAGACAGACAGATAAAACCCGTTTAAATGAATATATTTTTATTTATTTATATTTTTAAATAATTTGTCAGAACAAACAAATACAAAAACAAAAGACAAACAAAGGCAGATGACTTCCTTGAGTTGCTGCTGCTACTCGTGCTGCTGCTGCTGCTGCAGCGCTTTCTGCTGCTACTGTTGCTGCTGCAGCTGCAGCTCTTCCTGCTGCTGCTGGTGCTTCAGCTCTTGCTGCAGCAGCAGCAGCAGCAGCAGCTGCAGCAGCAGCAGCAGCAGCAGCGATTGGCATCTGCATGCATATTTATCTTCGACACCTTCTTTATCTCTTTGTGCATGCAGAGGAGGCAGCACGTGAAAAATAAACAAACAAATATATATTTAATATTATTATTAGAGACAAAAGGAGACAAAAGGAGACAAAAGGAGACAAAAGGAGACAAAAGGAGACAAAAGGAGACAAAGTATTTCTCAAAAGGAGACAGTTAAGTGTATGCACAGCTCACCGAGTGTCTCTGCATGTTGTATATAAACTGCAGCCTTCGTCATATCATTTAAGCGGACGCTCTGCAGCAGCAAACGCACACATTCTGCTGCTGCTGCTGCTCTTGTTGCTGCTTCTCTTACTGCTGCTTTTGCTGCTGTTTTTCTTGATGGTTTTGCTTCTCTTCTTGCTGTTGCTGCTTTTCTCTGTTACTTCTGTTGCTACATTTGCTAATGCTGCCTTTGCTGCTGCTGCCTTTGCTACTGCTGCCTTTGCTGCTGCTGCCTTTGCTGCTGCTGCTGCTGCTGCTGCTGCTGCTGCTGCTGCTTACTGGAAGGTTAACTGCTGCTTGAGGCATTTCTCCTTTAAGAATTTGTTTTATTTGAATCGCGACGTCTACAGAGACATTTACCTGGGCCTCATGAGTACTCGCACCTAAACAACACAAAGGGTTTAGGGTTTAGGGTTTAGGGTTTAGGGTTTAGGGTTTGGGGAGACAAAAGGAGACAGCAAGGGAGACAAACAGACGGAGAAACTGAAAGAGAGACAAAAGCAAATAAAATAAAAGCAGACAAAAGGAGACAACTGAAAATAAAAGAAGACAAAAGGAGACAGTAAAGGAGACAAAAGGAGACAAATGAAGACAAAAGGAGACAGAAAAACAGACAAACGCAGACAAAAGGAGACAATAAAGGAGGCAAAAGGAGACAGTAAAGGAGACAGCGAGAGACACAAAAGGAGACAGGCCGAGAGACTATCAAAGGAGACAGCAAAGGAGACAGCAAAGGAGACAATCAAAACAGGCAGCAAAAGAGACACCAAGAGACACAGAAGGAGACAGGAAAGGAGACAGCACAGGAGACAGCAAAGGAGACAGCAGAGGAGACAGCAAAGGAGACAGCGAAGGAGACAATCAGAGGAGACAGCAAAGGAAACAGCAAAGGAGACAGCAAAGGAGACAAACAAAAGAGACAATCAAAGGAGACAGCAAAGGAGACAGCAAAGGAGACAGCAAAGGAGACAGCAAAAGAGACAGCAGAGGAGACAGCAAAGGAGACAGAGGACATTACCAATGTGTGGAGTTAGAATAAGATTACAGCCCTTTGCTTGAGCTGCTATTAAAGCGTTGTCTCCTCCCTTAGCTGTCTCCTCTGCATATACATCCAACGCTGCACCTCCTAAGCGACCTTCTATCAGAGCCTCAGCAACGGCTGCCTCATCAACCACCCCTCCTACACAACAGCAGCACAAGCAGCAGCAAATCAAGCAGCAGCAGCAAGTGAAGCAGCAGCAGCAAATGAAGCAGCAGCAGCAAATGAAGCAGCAACAAATGCAGCAGCAGCAGCGGAAGCACCAGAACCACCAGGAGCAGAACCAGCAGCATTTGCAGCTGCAGCATTAGCAGCAACAGCCGCAGCAGCAACAGCAGCAGCAGCAGCAGCAGCAGGCGCACCCCTGCTGGTGTTGATGAGGAGAGCGGTTGGCTTCATGAGGGCAAGTGTCTCCTTCCGAATTAAATTGACAGTGCTCGGTATTAAAGGCACGTGCAAAGTCACCACATCGCCTACAAACAGCAGCAGCAGCAGCAGCAACAGCAGCAGCAACAGCAGCAACAACAACAGCAGCAGCAGCAGACTTGGGGCTGGGGAGGGCAGGAACTCCACAACGGTGTAGTGAAGGTATGGCTAGCTAGCTGGCTAGCGGGATACAGAGCTCTCTACTCATACCCACCTAGCTAGCTAGCTAGCTAGCTAGCTAGGTGGGTAGGTAGGTAGGTAGCTATCTATACGTGCCAGCTAGCTAGCCTACTTATAGCTAGCTAGCTAGCTAGCTAGCTATAAGTGTGTGGGAGTGCGTTTCGGTTGTACTTTGTTTAAGAAGAGTCTCTAAGGAGACAATTTGCACTCGCAGAGTTTCAGCCTTTGTTTGGTTGACGAAGGGATCAAAGGCTATTATCTCCATGCCCATGCTGCTGCAGACTTGCGCTATATAAGAACCCACCTAACCACCATACACAGCATCAACACTTAGCTAGCTAGCTAGCTAGCTAGGTAGGTAGCTAGCTAGCTAGTTAGCCATCTAGATAGCTAGCTAGATAGATAGATAGGTAGGTAGCTAGCTAGTTAGCCATCTAGATAGCTAGCTAGCTAGCTAGATAGGTAGATAGTTAGCTACCTCACTGGCTAGCTAACTGGCTAGCTAACTGGCTAGCTGGCTAGCTAGCTAGCCACCCACCTAACCATTCAGATAACCAGATAGTTTCCTAGGCAGATAGCTAGCTAGCTAGGTACGTAGATAGGCAGCTAGCTAGCTAGCTCCATGGGCAGCTAGCTAGCTAGCTAGGCAGCAAGGTAGCTAGCTATGTAGTTTGCTAGCTAGCTGGGAGCTGGGTGTAGGCTGCACGGGGAGTAAAGGTGAAGGGCGAAACCCTAAACCCTAAACCCTAAACCCTAAACCCTAAACCTTAAACCCAGTCCCCCACAACCCAAGTCATTAACCCTACGCCCCAACCCTAAACCCTAGACCCAATCCACCAAACCCTAAACCCTAAACCCTAGACCCTAAACCCTGGCCCCCTAAACCCTAAAGGCAGAACCGTAGGCCCAATCCTCCAAACCCTGAACCCTACGCCCAATCCCCCAAACCCTAAACCCTAAACCCTAAACCCACAAGCAAAAACCCTAAACCCTAAACCCTAAACCCTAAACCCTAGGCCCAATCCCCGAACCCCTAAACCCTAAACCCGAAACCCTAAACCCTAAACCCTAAACCCTAGACCGTTGGGGTAGTTGTGTTAGAGTACCTGTCCAAGACCAACGATACCGAGGGTTTTTCTGTGAAGTTGCAGCCCTTTGAATTTGCTTCGCTCCCAGTGGCCGTCGCTCACTGACTTATTAGCAGCAATTAAGCGACGAGATAAAGCAAACATCAAACCCAAAGCTAACTCTGCTGCAGATATGCTGCAGCAGCAACAACAGCAGCAGCGGCAGCAGCAGCAGAAGCAGCAGCAGCAACAGAAGAAGAGAAGTAGCAGAAGCAGCGGCAGATGCAGCAGAAGCAGTAGTTATAGGAGTTGTTGTCGTAGCAGGAGACACAAAAGCAACAGCGGCAGCAGCAGCAGCAGCAGCAACAGAAACACCAGCAACAGGAGCAGCAACAGAAGCAGCAATAGGACACAGCATAAGACACACACAACATATTGAGGTGATGAGCTAGCAGCAGCAGCAGCAGCAGCAGCAACAAACTGCTTCTGCTGCTGCTTACAAAGAGAACCCCCTCAATTCAACATTTCCTCTCATAAGAATCTCAGGAACTCCGCCTTTAGGGTCTAGGGTTTAGGGTTTAGGGTTTAGGGTTTAGGGTTTACGTGTTGCCTTGGGGGGAGTTAACGACGTAAATGCCTCGGGCTGTGGCGGCCTCGAGGCAAATATTGTCTACGCCAACACCCGCTCGTCCTGCAGCACCAACAGAAGACCTAGGGTTTAGGGTTTAGGGTTTAGGGTTTAGGGTTAGGCAGTTTGTGCAGTGAGAGGGCCAGAGGAGGTGACGCTGCTGCTCCACAGCAGCCGTGTCTGTCCTAAACCCTAAACCCTAAACCCTAAACCCTCACCAATGACTTTTAGTTTTGTGCCGCGATTAATAACCTCCTCCGTAACGGTGGTGGCGCTGCGGACGATGAGGGCATCAAACTCAGCTGCAGACATTAAAAAGTATTGTAAACCCTAAACCCTAAATTAGGGTTTAGGGTTTAGGGTTTAGGGTTTCTGGGGAGACGTTAGGCAGGGGTAGAGTAGGAGGCGAAGACATTGACAAAGGAGAGCAAAACAAATAAAATATATAAATAAATATAAAGGAGACAAAAACAATAAAGGAGATGAGAACAAATAAAAAAAGATAAGACAAAAGGAGACAGACGGAGACACCGGAAGAAGCAACAAAGACAAAAGGAGACACAAAATGAAACAAAAAATAAAAAATAATAAACAAGAAACAAAGATATAAAGAGACGGAAGGAGACAGAGACAGAAAAACAAGAGCGAGACAAAACAAACAAAAGGAGACAAACAGAGACAAACGAAGACAGACGAATAAGGAGACAACAAATAGATTTAAATAAGACAAAAGGAGACAACAAATAGACTTTAAAAAGACAAAAGGAGACAACAAATGGAATTAAAGGAGACAAAAGAAGTAAAGGAGACAACCGGAGAGAGACACAAAAACAGAGAGATACAAGAAATAGCAATAAAAAATATATTATAAAGAGACAGCACAATAAAGAGACAGAAGAAACAGCAGTAAAAAAATAATCAAAGGAGACAGAAGAATAAACAGACAGAAGAAGAAGAAGTATAAGGGACATCAAAACACAGAAAAGGAGACAGAAGAATAAAGAGACAGAAGAGACACTGCAAAAAGAATATGACAGAAAGACAGAAGAACAAACAGAGACAGCAAAAGCAGCATTAAATGAAATGAAACAGCGATGCAGAAGAATAAAGAGACAGCAACACCCGAGACAGAATAACCAACGCACTCAACGAAGATAACAATACTAAAAATAGTAATAAATAAATGATAATAGATAATAAATAATATATAATAGTAAAAGATTAGTAATTAATAATAATAAGAAGTAATGAATCAGTATTAATAATAATAATTTACGTATTATCTGCAGCAATTCTTCAGGCGATATTTTTTTATGTACTTCCACTGCAGAAATTCCCCGCAGTATTTCAACGCCAGCCTCATCAACGCCATCCAGGGCAAGCACTCGAGGAAGTGTTCTGAATAAATAAATAAATAAATAAATAAATAGATAAATAAATAAATACATAAATCAATAAGTAGAAGAATAATCAGCACATCACAGAAGCGGAGAAGAGGCAAAAAAATCGTTCACCAGACACCGGAAAGTAAACAAAAACAAAAATTACTCATTTTTACATGCTAAACCCTAAACCCTAAACCCTAAACCCTAAGAAAAAAATATCAGGCTGAAGAGTTGTGAAGGTATCTGTTTGTGCCTGTGGCGAGTGTTTTCTTGCACATATTTTGTGAGGTTTAATTTGCACTTATCTTGAATAATTGATTTATATTTGTAAGTTTTTCTTTTTTTGTTTTTATATGTATAAACACTTTACCCGGAAGTTGCCTGTGAATTCGCCATGATGGTGAAAGAACGCCAAGAAGAAAGAGTTGAAATTGAGGTCAAAAAAAGAATATTTCCCTTTTTTGTTATTTTTTTTCAGACAATAATAATATTTAATTGTTAAATTTAATTTAATTTAGGAAATTTCAGTGCAAAAACAAGCAAAATCAACGCGCTAAGTCCACCCATACACCACCGGAGCGGCAGTGGTCACTTCAGGTGTACAGGCAGCTCGTGCTGGCATGCAGCGTTTGCATTCTTCCATTAAGAAAACAAAATTTTATATTATTTTTCATTCTTTTGAGTTTATTTACTCTTTTTAAATATATTTTATCTCCATGTCTGCGTATGCAGCTCGGAAAACCCTCCCTTGTCGCTCACCAGAAGGCACCCCTACGGTTTTGTATGCTGTGCAGTGTATCTGCATCTGTTTTCCTCCAACTGGGGCAAGTAAATGCATTTTAAAATATCACTAAACATATCAATAAAATTTCGTAGTTCTGCTCCGGCAAGAGGAGGGCGGCTGCGTGTGCCATGCTACCGTTGTACATAAGAATAGTAATAATTTGAAGGTTATTGCTGCAAAAGAATAGGTTTATTTACATATATTTATGAGATGAATTGTACTTACTTATTTATTTATACTCTTACGTGTACCAATATATCATGATATGCTAAGGAGTTTAGGTGTGCAGGTCCAGCAGTAGCTGAGGTGTGCATACACCCGATTAAAGCCTCATCAAATCATACAAAAAATTAAGGACGCAGATAATTGCATGCACTGCATCTGAAGGTTTGTTTGTTGTGTATGCCTAAGCCACCATTTGCTGCATTTAAATACCTATCTCAACACTGCCGATGAGACAGCTCTTCTTCTCTCGAGCAAACCCTACAAAGGAGTGGTTATTAATGCCACCCCTGTAGAAACCACGATGGCCTCCTTCTAGTTGAGGAGGACTTCCTTAAATGTTTAGTTCTAGGGTTTAGGGTTTAGGGTTTAGGGTTTAGGCTAACGGTCTCAACGGTGTAAATGCACAGTATATATATATATATATGCTTATTCATTCTTTTATTTGTTTATTTAAATTAATTGGCTGTGGGTAAGCTATGGAAAAGAACGAGATCATACAGATGAAGGTGCGGTGCTGCCGCTGTTGCTGCTGCTACTGCTGTTGCTGCTGCTACTGCAGTTGCTGCTACTGCGGTTGCTGCCGTTGCTGCTGCTGTCGAGCTGCAGCACCTCCAGAGAGCAAGCATGCTCTGTGAGAGACTCTTATGAACAGACGGCTAGCTGGCAGCAGCCACAGCTAGCTGACGATGCTAACAGCTAGCTGTATGTGATAGCAGCTAGCTGTAGATGCTACCAGCTAGCTATTGATACTATTAGCTAGGTATAGATGTTTTTAGCTAGGTGTTAGAAGGAGTTAACCCTCGCCTAACGACAATGGCCCAGCGAAAAAACCTCTAAACATGTTGTTTTACCTCAGGTATATTGCCTTGAATACTCTCTCGCGGCGTATGCATGCACATATGGATGCATGCATACATGCATGCATGCATGAACTCCAGATACACTCTAAGCCTCTATTACTAAAGGGCTTTAAGTGTCTTTAAAGAAAGCCCTTCTTGTTTTTCTTTTGCTTAGACCTCATAGTAGCAGCACAGACCGTAGAGGAGTATTCTCATTTGGAGATATTCACCGGAATTAGAGTTAAAGCAAGGAAAAAGAATAGAAACAGAAAAGGAAAGAAAACACAGACTGTCTACTCCTCCAGCCATCTCTCAGACCAATAAAGACAAACACTGCAGCAGCAGGAAGCAGCAAACAGCAAACAGTTGCATGCATGCGTTACGCCCTTCTCTCTCCCCTGAGCTGTCTTTGTAGTTCAGTATTGCCCCACAAACAAATAAACAAACAAACCAACAGAGAACGAAAGAATGTACAAATAACATCCTACAGTGTACATCCACCTCTAGTGAATATACTGCGGGCAATATCGAAGTCATAAAGAAAAGAAATCAGCAAACACTTAACAATGATGGGTGAAGAATGTGGAGAAGACAAATTGAATTTTTTTATATTAAATAACATATGCGCTCGACACTAAATCCTTATGGTGTGTTCTATGGCTATTATATTTTGTTTGATGCGTACTGCACGCCTCCTATTCGTGTTAGCAAATATATGTAATATTAGTTCATATTACAGTATGTCTATATTGTATTAGTTTAAAAATATTATTTTTAATCATAAAAATTACAGACTAATTCACTTTCAATAAATTTTTAAATATCATTGCTGCATGCGCTCCCTCAGAAGCCCCGCAGCCCCAAAGAGGAGTGCTGAGGCCCTGTGCTGTGAGGCAGTGGAAATTGCCTTCAATGAAGTAAAATAAATCGATAGAAATAATTATTTTTCTAATTTAAAAGGTGTATTTAGCTTTTATTATTCTGAAAAGGGCTGTTATGTTAGCTTTCTTCGCGGTGTATTGCGAGGTGCCTGTACACCTGAAAAGTTGAATTGAACGGTTTCGCCACCGAGTGGAAAGCGATGATTATTTTGTATTATTATTGATATTGAAGAAGATATTTAAAGTGTTTTAAATTTATTTTTGTCTTCTTCTTTTAATTCTTCTTTTGTTCCGCTGTTTCCTTCTCTTTTCCCCCCTTTGCAAGATGTGCAGCCTCGTGCGCCACAGCGATGTGTTTGATCTCTTTGAGATGCAACACGTAAACTTCGTGAATTTACCGGAGAACTACGTCATGAAGTATTACTTTTTTCACGCTCTTTCATGGCCTCAGCTACCAACTGTAGCAGAAGACAGTCAGGGGAAGATCGTTGGTTATGTTCTTGCAAAGCTGTAAGAAGAAGCCGTACATACAGTAACTGCTGTCTATATCTTCTTTGCTTTATCATCTTTATCTTTTTCTCTGTTTGCCTTTCTATTTCATTCTGTTCGTATCCATGCATCTCCTCTTTATTTCTTCTTTATCTTCTGCTGCTCTTTTCTGCTTTCTCTCTTATTCCTTTTCTTTCTTTCTTTGTTTCTTATTTATCTCCTTATTTCTCCCTCATTGCATCTCCGTCTGTTGCACAGTTTCTGCTCCTATTTACCTCTTTGGCTCCTCCTAACCTTCTCTTTATCCTATGTTTATCTCTTCTTTTTTGCGTTTTGTTGCCGAGAGTATTTCTATGTTTCTAGAGTGCATCTCTGTGCATGCAGAATGAATCTGGGGTGTCACTGCAGCTACGAATATCCTATCGTTTCTCTTTTTTTAGTTTTTAGTGTTTTGCTTTGATTTCTGCTGTCTGTACAGTGAAGATGAAAACCAACAAGGACAGAAGCCCCACGGCCACGTAACATCTGTTGCAGTGCTGAGACAAAACAGAAAATTAGGGTTAGCGTCTAAGCTTATGACTCTCTCGCGTAAGGGTTTAGAAGCACTCCTTTTAATTGGCTTTAAATAGGGGTATTTGCTGCTGTTTAGTTCCTCCGTACTTCATTTATTGTAATCTTAAGGGTTTAGGGTTTAGGGTTTAGGGTTTAGGGTTTGTGCTTCAGAAAGAGCAATGCAAGACGTCTTTTCGGCGGAGTTTGCAGCGCTGCACGTCCGCGTAACCAACAGAGCGGCCTTTGCACTGTACAGCAAAACATTAGGCTATAGGTAAGCTTTTTTTCAGGTGTATGTGCACCTCAGTGCTAATTAATAGCCCTTTCCTCAGGTGTATGTGCACCTCAGTGTTAATTAAGAGGCCTTTCTTCAGGTGTATGTACACCTGAATATTACTAATAATCCTTTCTTCAGGTGTACGCACACTCCAATATTAATTTTATTCTTTTCTTCAGGTGTACGTACGCCGCAGTGCTAGTAGTTTGATTGTTTAGGTGTACGTACACCCCAGTATTAATAGGCTGTTTGCTGAGGTGTACGCTCAGCTGTGTTTTTTGTGTTTTGTTTGTGTTGTGTTGCAGGGTCCATGATATAGATAAAGAGTATTATGCTGACAAAGAAGACGCATTTAATATGCGCAACTACTTTAATAAAGGTTTGTCTTTGCTGCAGCACTTTCTCTTATTTGCTATACTTCTCTCTCTTCTGCTTCAACCATACTTACAACAACAAATAAACAGCTTAAACCCCCGAAGGGCACGAAAGCACCTGCTGCTGCTGCTGCTGCTGCTGCTACTTCTGCTGTTGGCCATGGTGCTGCTGCTGCTACTGCTGGTGCTGCTGCTGCTGCTGCTGCTGCTACTTCTGCTGCTGGCCATGGTGCTGCTCCTGCTGCTGCTGCTGCTATGTCTACTGCTGGTCATAGTGCTACTGCTGTTGTTGCTGTTGCTGCTGCTGTTGTAGATAAAGTCGGCAAGGGGCGCCGCAAAGAGGCAGAGAAGGAGACAGAAGAAGCTGCTGCTGGAGGAGCATCAGAGACTTCGGCTGTACGTACACCTCAGCTTAGACAAGCGGGACAGCCACTCTTATATCGAGGGTTTAGGGTTTAGGGTTTAGGGTTGACGATTGAGGGTTTCGTCTCTTCAGCTTTTTGATGCGTGATGCGTGCAGGCAGCAGCAGAGCAAACCCCCGCAGCAGCAGCAACAGCAGCAGCAGCCAAAGGAACAGCAGCAGCTGCAGCACCGGAGCAGCAAGCTGCAGCAGCTGCGCAGCAGTCCACCTCGACAACAGCAGGTGCAGGGAGCAGCGGCAGCAAAAACAGAAGAAAAAAACGCTAGAGTTTAGGGTTTAGGGTTTAGGGTTTAGGGTTTAGGGTTTGGTGGTGCAATGCATCCCGCCCTTCGTGAGATGCCAAACAACTTACAATACTTTTTCTGTTCAAAACCTAAGGTTTAGGGTTTAGGGTTTAGGGTTTAGGGTTTAGGGTTTAGGGGGGTAATAACGAATAGAATCTTCTACTGAGACAGCCCTTAGAGCACAGCCATTGGTAGCTTGGCAGCTCCTTTAAAGGGTTTACTAGGGTTTAGGGTTTAGGGTTTAGGGTTTAGTTGTCTCGCTGTGCAGTAGTATCTGCATGAAAAATTAAGTATATAGATGCATGCAGGTTGTTTTAGTTAGAGGGAAAGATGAGTATATACACCGGCATGCGTCGGCTGATTGCCTTCGCCTGTATTCTTTTTCTGTATTTGTTGTTTTAAGTGTCTCATCACCTTGAGGTGTACAGGCAGCTCTGTGTCTGTGCCTGCATGCACTGAGGTGTATATGCAGCTCTCTGTGTCTGTTTGCATGCACTGAGGCAGCAAAAAACAAAAGTAAAGCAAAGTTTTAAACCTAAGGTTGGGTTGCTGCTGCGCGGGGCTTTCTCTTCGCATGCATACACAAAACCCTTGCATGCAATGCATGCATGCAATACGTGCATGCAATACCTGCATGCAATATTTGCAAGATATGCATGCAGTATCTGCATGCAATATGTGCATGCCATACCTGCATGCAATACGTGCATGCAGTACCCGCATGCATGCATGCATGCATGCATGCATGCATTGCATGCATGCATGCATGCATGCATTGCATGCACGTATTGATTTGTTAGTTTTTTTGTGCAAAGTACTTGAGACTGTAAGGAGGCACGCCTGGATAGAAAGGCTTTAAAACTCCGTAGGGCTGAGGTAAGATCTCTTCACCCCCCTCTGGGGTGTATAGGCAGGGTCGCTGAGGAGCAGTGGTTCTGAGATGAGGTGCAGAGACACCCGAATTATTTAAAACAATTTTTTGTCTTTGAGGGAGGAAGCAACACCAACAAATGTAGCAGCAGCAAATCCAGCAGCAGCAAATGCAGCAGCAGCAAATACAGCAGCAGAAGCAGCAGCAGAAGCAGCAGCAGAAGCAGCAGAAGCAGCAGAAGCAGCAGCAGAAGCAGCAGCAGAAATAGAGAGAGAGAGCAAAAGAGAAAAAGAAAGAGACGGAGAGACAGTGCAGTCTTCTCTTGTCTTTTATCTCATGTCGCTTGTCTCTTATCCTTTGTCTGCTGTCTCCTTTATCTTTGTTTTTATCTCTTGTCTACTGTCTCCTTTGTCTCCTTCTCTTATCTCTCATCACTTTTATCTCTTTTATCTCTTGTCTCCTGTCTCTAATCTCTTATCTCTCATCTCTCATCTTTAATTTTCTTATCTTTATCTCTAATCTCTTGTCTCTCTACTGTCTCTATTCTCTTATCTTTAGTCTCTTAGCTTTAATCTCTTATTTTTAATCTCTTATCTTTAATCTCTTATCTTTAATCTGTTGTCTCCTTTTATCGCTGCCAGCGGTTAACGTCTGTCTCCTTCACTTCTTTTTCTAACTAGAGACATTAATATAAAATAAATAAATAAATATATATATATATATTTATTTATTTATTAATGCAATAGGTATACAGTTATAGAAATAAATATACTGTCTCCTTTAGCATGTCTTACGTTGTCTCCTCTCGCTCTTTCTCTTGTCGCCTCCTCTCTGCTTCTTCGATTAAAATTTGTCTCCTTCTTTGTCTCCTTATCTCTTGCTGCTGCAGCTCAGCAGCAACTGCTGCTGAAGGAGGCTGACCTTGCATTACATTCACTCGTGCTGTAGCTAACTGCGTAGCTAGCTGCTGCTGCAGAGTAGCTAGCTGCGGCAGCATAGCCTGTACATACACCCCACACAGCGTTGCTGTCTGTCTCTTTTTATGTTTTACTTTCTGTCTCCTTTTGTTGTTACACCTGTCTCTTCTTTTCTCTTGTCCTCTGCTTTCTCTCTCTTTTTTCTATTTCATCTGTCTCTCTCTTTTTATTTATTTGTCTCTGTTGTCTGTTGCGGTGTGTTTATCTGTCTTTCTCTTAATCTGCTTGTCTCATCTGTCTCTGTCTCTCTTTTTATTTACTTGTCTCTGTTGTCTCTTTCTGTCTTTTGTTTATTTCTTTTTTTTAATTTTTCTGTCTCCTCATCTTCTGCTGCATTTTGCGCGGTCTCCATTAAACAAAATATATACCTTGCTTTCGCTGAGCTGCCTATACACCTGAATGATCTCTCTTAGAGCTGCCTATACACCTAATATATATATACATATATATATATTATAATAAGGCTGTGTATACACCTGAAATATGTTCAGGAGCTGCCTATACACCTGAATAAGCTTGCACTCACCCTATAGGTATCTGCTTCAGCAGCTAAACATCTCCTTTTGCTGCTTACGTCTTCTAAGCGCTGCTGCAGCGAGCCCAGTTGCCGCAGCAGCGCAGCAGCAGCTTCTTTCTTTGGTTCTACTTGCTGCTGCATCTCCGCTGGTGCAGCAGCAGAAACATAAAACAATAATCCCTGTCTCTGTTTCTATGCATACACTTCAGGTGTATATACACCTGAAAAATATCTGCAGCAAACATTTCGAGTACTGGGGCCCTGTCTCTGTTTCTTTATCTTTATCTGTCTCATTTGCTGTCTCTCGTTTTTATCTCTGTCTCCTTTTCGAGCTGTCTCCTCACTCGTCTCTGTCTCCTTCAATGCCTTGGCTTATCTCTCTGTCTCTGTCTCTGTCTCTCTCTTTTTCTGTCTCTGTCTCTCTTCTTTATCTGTCTCTCTTCTTTATCTGTCTCCTTCTCTGTCTGTTTGTCTGTCTCCTTATCTGTCTCTTTTATTGTCTTTATCTGTCTCATCTTCTTCTTGTAAATCTATTTCTTTATGCTTTTTATTTATTTATCTGTCTCTTTAACTGTCTCCTTTTACTCTCACCTGTCTCCTCTTTGAGGTCTTCTAACTTTAATTCAATTTGTAATAATTTGCGTTTTTGTTTTTGCAGCTGCTGCTGCAGAACTTCTTCTTTTTGCTGCAGCTCCTCGATGCTTGGTTCTTCCCTGAGGTGTATATACACTCTAAACCCTAAACCCTAAACCCTAAACCCTAGGGCAGAAACCGTACTCAGTAAGACACCTACAATGAGCGTAAACCCTAAACCCTAAACCCACAAACACAAACCCGAAACCCATCCCCACTAAGTCAAATGCAGCACTAAACCATAAACCCTAAACCTTAAACCCTAAACCCTAAACCCTAAACCCTAAACCCTAAAGGCTTACTTTCCGACTTCTCTCCATTCTCGACTGCCGTCAGGGTCCTCTGCATGCATCACCTCAGCATATTATTATTTTATTATTTTTTAATAAAAGTATTTGTATTTATAAACAACTAATTAATTTCTCTCTGGTGCAGTGCAGCAATAGAACAAACAACCGGAAGCTGAGGGTTTAGGGTTTAGGGTTTAGGGTTTAGGGTTTAGGGTTTAGTAGAGGAGACTTACCAAGTTCAAGACGAAGTCTCTTTACGTTTACTTTTTCTTTAGCTAGCTGCTCTTTGAGTTCTGCTGCTTCTTCAGCTAGCTGCGGCAGCACTTTACATCTCTTTTGCTGCTGCTGCAGCTGCTGCTGCAGCTCCTTTGCTTTCAGCCGCAGCTGCCTCACCTCCTGTACACCCAAACAAACACAAGCTAGCTAGCTAGCTAGCTAGCTAGCTACCAAGATGGCTAGCTAGTTTGCTATGGTTAGCTAGCTGGGCGGCTAGCTGGTTGGCTGCCTAGCTAGCTAGTTCATTACTGAGCCAGCTAGCTAGCTAGCTAGCTTGCTACCTCGGGGCCTAAGGGGCTATGCAGCTAGCTGTTTGTTTATTTTTCGCGAGCACAAATGACTGCTAAAGAAATGCAAGGGGGCTGGCTAGCTACATCGTCACTATAACAGCTAGCTAGTTAGGTAGCTAGCTAGCTAGTTAGTAGGTAGCTAGCTAGTTGATAGGTTATGATTGTGGGGAGCACCGCTTCTGCTTCCTGAGTCGCCCGTAGGCCATGCACCTCAGCGTTCGCTGCATGCACACGTAGGCAATGAGCTGCTGCTGCTGTGGCTGCTGCTGCTGCTGCTGTTGCTGCTGCTGCTGCTGCTGTTGCTGCTGCTGTTGCTGCTGCTGCTGTTGTTGTTGTTGCTGCTGTTGCTGCTGTTGCTGGCTGCTTTAGAGGTTGATGCTGATAGGAAGGATGCTGTTGCCGTCGCTACTGGGGTGGGGTGGGTGCTGCTGTGCCTGTTAGGGTTTAGGGTTTAGGGTTTAGGGTTTGGGTATGCTGCTGCAGCAGATGCAGCAAGAAGCAGCAGCAGGGTTTGCTGCTGCGTGTTTTATTCGTCGCCGTTTTATTTTTATTTTTATTTTCTTTTTGTTTGCTTAATAATTATCTATATCTGTTATTTATAGTTATTTGTATGTATTCGTTTGTATTTATATTTATTTATATTCATTTATACTTATTAATTAAATCTGCTTATTTTTATTGCTTATTTTTATTTGTATTTAGTTATATTTTTTATACACTTATTATTTATGTTTATTTATATTTATTTATATTTAATTATATTTAATTATATTTATTTATGTTTATTTATATTTAATTATATTTAATTATATTTATTTATATTTAATTATATTTAATTATATTTAATTATATTTAATTATATTTAATTATA